CTAGATTTAAATAACCTTAAAAACAAAAATATACGACAAGAAACAGGAGAAAAAATAAATGAAAACCTCGGTTCAGTGCAGTAACAGATTAATGATACAAATAACGTTAGCCAAAAATTAAAGTATATAAATACAGCTATACAAACAGCAGGAAAGAAACATCTTACAAAAACAACAACAAAGAATAAGGGGTGGATGGCACAAGATATACTAGACTTGATGGAACAAACAAGAAAGATGAATAAATAAGACATATATAATTACCCAGACAAATACATGAACACATAAAAAAGAAAATAAAAGAAGCCAAAGAGGAGTGGAAAAAAGAACAGTGTAAAGAAATGGAAATCTATGAGAAAAAGTACGATGCGTTCAATATGCACAAAAAAGTAAAAGAGATAACAGAAAGCATAAGGAAATGCCAAATAGATAAACTTAAAGACAAAGATGGAAATCTTATTATAGATCTAGAGAATGAAATAAAAAGATGGACAGAATACCTGAATAAATTATTTGAAGACGATAGAAACAACTTAACTCAGATAATCAATGCAACTGGGCCAGACATATTGAAAAAATAAGTAGAATACGCAATAAGAAACGCTACAAATGGAAAAGCAAATGGACCTGATGAAATTCCTACAGAACTGCTGAAGTTTTTCAATAATAAATCCGTAACCATAATATTACATCTATTCAATACAATATACAGTACTGGTATATTACCTCAAGAATGGTTGCTGTCTACGATTGTCACCATATCGAAGAAAACTAAGGCAATGTAATGTTCATATCATCGAACAACCTTCTTGATGAGTCATCTGCTTAAAATATTTCTTAGAGTCATTCACCACCGAATCTATCAAATGTTAGATATCGATATTAACGACACACAGATGGGATTCAGAAAAGGATTAGGTACAAGAGAAGCTCTCTTTGCCTTAAATGTCCTAACACAGAGATGTCTAGATGTTAACCAAGAGGTACATGCCTGTTTTATAGACTTTGAAAAGGCCTTTGACATAGTACACTACAATCAACTAAAAAAAATCCTGGAAGGTAAGAACATCAACCCCAGAGACATACAAATAATATTAAATCTGTACTGGAATCAGCGAGCTAATATAAAAATAGAAGACCAAACCTAAATAGAAATATGTAGAGTACTACGACAGGGTTGTATATTGTCACCGCTTTGTTTAATATCTACAGTGAACAAATATGCCAAGAAGCTCTCTCAAATGCAAACGAAGGGATAATAGTCAATGAAGAAGTTATCAATAACATTCGAAATGCTGACGATACTGTGATAATACCAAGATCAGCAGAAGATCTACAACATCTAGTTGAAAGTATGAATGAGATACGTAATAACTACGGCATAAAGATGAACGTCAAAAAAACAAATACATGACCTTCAGTAAGAACCCAATACATGACACTAGTATCGCAATAAATGGTACCCAACTTAAAAAAGTAAGCGAATACAAATACTTGGGAACCCTCATCAATGAAACAGGTGACCAAAATGACGAGATATAAAGACGTATTGAAATTGCCAGGTCTAACTTTATAAAAATGAAAAAAATATTTTGTAATCGTGATATTAGTATTCATCTACGAACTAAAATGTTAAAATCCTATGTATTTAGTACTTTGCTTTACGGTGTTGAGGTATGGACTCTTAAACAGAGGAATATTAAAAATTTTGAAAGCTTTGAGATGTGGTTTTACCGCCGTATACTAAAAATAAGTTGGGTGGATAAAATTACAAATAAAGATAACGATCCAGAAGTTATCATGAATATAAAAAGAGATAACTTGAATATTTAGGCCACCTGATGAGAGGACAAAAGTACACATCCCTTCAAAATATAATGCAAGGAAAAATCCAAGGACGCAGAAATCCAAGTCGTAGAAGAATGTCCTGGATGAGAAATTTAAGAGAGTGGTTTGGCTGTACCACTAACGAATTATTCAAAACAGCAGTAAATAAAATTAGAATCGCCATAATGATATCCAATCTCCGATAGGAGAGGCACTCAAAGAAGAAGAAGAAACCCCATGGTAGTTTTAAATATAGTAGGTCCACAAAACTTACTCCAAAGTATATCTACAATATGGATGTTGGCACTGCCCTGTAGTTAGTAGTAGTCCAATAAGGCATATAGCTCTGTAGAATCGCAATATTTCCAGTTATCTATATCCAGGACTTTTTCGGCTTCTTTATTTGTACACTTAACTATTTCGTTCACAATTTTTTGTCCACAAACAAACAAAAGGAGTCCACAGGATCATCTACACTTTGACCAGGGGCTAACATTACTTTGTGCACTTTGCATTTTATTATGTCGCAAGATCGCATACGTCCTGTTGGTTGTGGTTGACTCATATAGTTAATTCCATCCTATGTTTCAAAAATTACACACTCTAAAATCTGGGACCTTGTAGCTACACATTCTTCTTCATTATCACCCAATACTATTTGCTGATTATCCTCTTCACTTGCTTCCGAAAGATGATCTTCAATTTCAGAATCACTTTTAATGTCACCTACTTCAGGAGATTCTTCATCATCGAAATACCATAAATTATTAGCAGTATCTTGCAGTTCTGCAGCTGATAATCATTTTCGGAACATTTTATTAGCACTATCTACTTTCACTGTAATTCAATATAATTTATGACCTTAGTTGCCGACACTAACATCGATATCAAACGATTGACGGCAGATGCATTATTTATTTCAAAATATGTAAAGGTACCTACCTAACAATAATATTGCATTCCAACAATGGTTATTAGTTTTTAAAATTCATTTAGAATATATGTAACGCCTATTGTAAGCATCTCTGTAATGTTCACATCAAAGATATGTTTACATTATTTTTTACACGTTTAGACTTTATTATTGGGTTTCAAGAATAATAAAAGTCGTTTAGATAATCCACAAAAACATTACCTACTGCCACGTTAACTTCTGAAACAAAGATGTAGACTTTAGGTATAAATATAAATAGGGTACGACGGGCCCGTGTTGCCCCTTTACGTGACAAAATTCTTTCGAAGCAATAATTTCAAAAATGATAATGAATATTCTCATGACTATATTGAAGAAAACATACTTCTAAAAAAATTCAGTGATGCATAAAATTCAATAAAAAATTTATCAGTCTATGAATTTTCGTCTCGGGCCCGTTGGACCCACCTTGCCCGGAAAAGAGTTAAATAAATACAAATAAATACATAGAATTAAATTTCTGCTTTACAATACTGTTGTTACTTGTTATACTTTTTATAAAAGAACGCGCTGCACTGAATAAATTGCTGCACTGAGAAATCGACGAACTCAAGAAAAAATAACTGGCGAAACGTATAGGTGAACAGCGAAACGATAATTAGTAAACTCGTGCAGCTGAGCAGTGAGTAGATTTAAAGGAAAAATCGATTTGGAAATAAGCAGTGATCCGTAGTTCTATTTTCCATTTATAGCTTTTTCACGATTATCTTCGTACTTTTAGTAGCGATAGTCATACGAAGTTCAGCGTTTACTTTTAATTGTGTTTTACCTCCTCTGTCTTCGATACGGTTCTTTTTACCATATACATTTCGCATACTAACACAAAGAAATACATTTTTAATTTCTATTTTTTAAAATAAAGCCAATATTTTTTTATTAGAAAAACACCAAAAGGTTATTAGCGACACAACAAAATATAAATAACAAAATTTAATAACTACAGATTATAGAAAATTTTTTTTATAGATCTTAGAAATTTAATTTTATTGTTATTTAATTAATATTTAGGAACACTCTTGACCTAGAGCTTCTGCTCGAGAGTTCTAGATATTGTAACTATGTCTTTCTTACTCATATTTACCCAAATTTAATAAAAAGTGTTCAACTGTTAATCGAACGTTACACTGATCACATATGGGTGGGTTATTCTTAGTGAAAAGGTATGTTAACTTGGTATGTCCTAAACGTAGACGAGCGAGCACAATTTGTTCACGCCTATTAAGCGACGATAGAATCCACTGGGAAACATTATTCTTGATCTTATTCAGTTTAGAATTAGTTTAAGACCACTCATTTCGCCATAAACAGAACACTTATTTTTAAAATAAGCTTTTAAGCCACTGGAAACACACTTGTCTATAGGCTTCGATTAATCGCTTAAAATTGCCTGTCGTGCAGTTTAGTCAGCTTCTTCGTTTCCCGTTATTCCGACGGTGAGGGTACCCACAAAAACTGAACTCTTCGTCCATGCTGATGAGCTTGGGAGGGATGCTAGTATCGAACGAAAGTATCGACACCAGTATCGCTCAAAGTATCAAAGGTGTAGTATCGATTCTCAGAGTACAAATGACATTAAATATTTTTGTAAAAATATAAAATAACCTATAAGCACTTTTTGGTTAGCGTTTACGACGTAAGCTTTAGTTTGGGAGGCTGTGTTTCCAACTCTTTCCAGCTAATTTTCTGTTGATGTGTGTTTGTAAAAGCCCAAACAGCACAAGTACGTCCCATGGACGTCCGAAGGATGTACCTCGTTAAATGTCCGGACATCCCATGGACATCCGTTTACATAATTTGGACGTCCCCGGGACGTCCAATAAGACCTAAATGTTACCAAAAAGTACGTCCCCTGGACGTCCCAGGGATGTTCATGGGGACGTACATAGTACATATACAGAACTTAATACGGACTTGCATAGAACCTAAGAAGGATGTATTGGGGACATCCATTGTACGTCTACATGGACTAATATAGGACCTAAGAAGGATGTATTGGGGACATCCATTGTACGTCCACATGGACTAATACAGGACCTAAATGAGGATGTATACAGGACCTAAAGGGAACTTACACAAAAAACTAATAAAATGAAAAGCAAAAATAAATGTGATTTTTATTGTGTACCTAATTAACATGTATTTAAAATAAAAAAAAATTAAATTCTTCTAGCCCGTTCTGGGCAACGTCTAAGCCATTTTCTTAATACAACTTCCGTTTCTTTTGTTGAACCGGCAACTTTTGCTTTCTCGGCTGCATTTGTAAATAATGAAACCACTTGAAAATGGTGGAAATGATCACTGGTTCTTATATGAAATTTCAATGAATTATTCAATTATTAATTTCAAATCAAAGAGGTTTCAGATAAATAATTTTTTTTGTGTTGAAAGTGAATTTTTTTTTAAATAAAGTAATAATTCAATAAAATTTTCTCATTTTAAAAACATATATGTGTACTAAATAAAACTTTATATCTTACCTATTAAAACTTTACCTACATTTAGCTTTAAAAATTTCTTTTTTCCTTTTTTGCCATAATAGCTATATTCAGCTCCAACTTTGTGTGTTAGTAATGTGAGACATGCTCTTTTAATAAAATCATCTATGCCTCTTCCACCTAACTTGGCAAGATCATTCACCTAAAATGGTAAAGATATTAAATAATATACACTTTACAAAAATTTTACAGGTTTTTAATTAGGTTCTTTGTGTTAAAAGCTTCACTGATACTACAAGTACTCTATTATGTTTTTTTAATTCGCCCTTCGGAGTGTCCTGCCAGGCCTTACTCTGGGAGGATGCTGCTGAATCCTACTGGATTATTGCAATATTTTTAACACACCTACTTCACTTCTCATTCATTCCTTCATTCGATCCCCGCCATAAATGGTGTATACAGGCTTTGTACCATCTTTAGTACTCACTAATCCAACAATGTCACCAGTCCCACGTATGTCAATGTTGTTTCGTTTCGTACCACATAGCAGCCAAGGCCAGTCACCCATTCATTTCCGAGCAGCTCGGGCTTTTTGATTTGGGAGATATTATTCTTTGTGGTCCCGCTCCCAATTGGGGTAAAAGCTCAGGAACCCGCGCGTGGTGTCACATACTCACCAAGTAACAGAGGGATCAAGTAACGTGGGACCTCCATCACCCCTTGTGGGGTACTATATGATGTTACTTTATTAACAATCACATTAAAAAATTTACTTACAGCAATATTGTATAATGTTATTTCGTCTAACGCTTCATTGAATTTTTCTAAGTTTTCAGTGTCATCTAATGGAAGCTTTACGACATCTTTTATTCTTGTGGCTAGAGTTTGTGATGGCTGTTCAGGCGGAACATCAGAAATTTTATTAATTTGTTTTATTTTCTGCAGAACATCGCTTACTATGTACTTAACCACATTTGTCTGCGTTAAAATTGATTGTATAAGAGTTCTCTCATCTAAAAATGTATAAATTGATCAATTATAAAAGTATTAAATTTTAAATCAGCTTAATTTTGAAAATAAGATATATTTAGAAAATCTGTTACCCTTCATTCCACAGCATTTTTTACAGGAATGATTGCACTCTGTTGATAGTTTTGATGTCTCTACTAAAAATAAATAAATATGAATATGTTTATGTAACAATCATAACACAATAATTACCATTCTGGCTCTGTTCTGATGCCTGTGCAGTGTTCATCGATGGAGAAGGTAAAATAACATCTAAAAAGACATTTTATTTAAACTTAACATATTTTTAAACATTGATAAAAAAACTTGTAAACCCTTGTATAATAAATTTATATTTATTGATAAACTAAGTGCCTATAGATATGATTAATACATTTTTATGTCAACTTAATATGGAACAAATAGTTGTACAATTACACTAGTTTTAATTTTTTGAATAGTATACATACTTATGTCTTTTGTTGTTGTGCCCCTTTCTATGGGTTGTCTTTTATAACTAGGTGGTGAAGATAACTTTGATTGTTCAGTAGATGATTCCTCATCTGAGGAAAGAGTTTTTTTTTCTCTTCCTCTTCCCCAGGTTTTCATTTTCTGATGGTATATCGCTGGTTTCCTCAGCTATTCGGCACTTGGCACGGGCTGCCAGATAATTATCTAAAAATTAAATAATATATCAAACTTTGAGGGTATACAAGGCAACTATCGAACACGGTGATTAATTTAATCTTGCCCAAGTACTTTCAATCAATAGATCATCTTCAGGGGCATTTCGTCAATTGTGGACTATCCGACATAGTAGAATGTCATAAATTTAAAACTGGACATAACAATACAAAATACACTACACTAAGACAAACAAACACTTTAAAATTTATATGGCGAAGCTACATATTGTGAAGAAGCCGGAGACAGAATGATTCTGTCTCCGGCTTCTTCACAATATGTAGCTTCGCCATATAAATTTTAAAGTGTTTGTTTGTCTTAGTGTAGTGTATTTTGTATTGTTATGTCCAGTTTTAAATTTATGACATTCTACTATGTCGGATAGTCCACAATTGACGAAATGCCCCTGAAGATGATCTATTGATTGAAAGTACTTGGGCAAGATTAAATTAATCACCGTGTTCGATAGTTGCCTTGTATACCCTCAAAGTTTAATTATTCGAACATTCAACCTTATATTGGTTAAATAATATATTTTAAGGGGAAGTAGTAAAAATTTGTTTACTGACTTTGCACAGGCTGCTAGATAATTATCTAAAAATTAAATATATATTGAGTGAAGTAGTAAAAATTTGTTTACTGACCACAAGTTGAATTTTTGAAAACTTTAATTTTAAGAAGGGGCCAACAGGAACTAGCATCTTCATTAGATTGAATCATTGTTTTAATTATTGATAATTTTTGTGTTGGCCAATAACAATAATCACCAACTATCCATGAAACAGGTATACATTCCACAGAATTATCCTCCTCAAACCCAACAACTGACCATGTTTTCTCCATCGTTAAAACTAAAATTAATATACAACAAGTACTGTAAATAACAGCTAGATGCTTAAAAAATACAAAATAAAAAAAAAATAAAAATACAACTTTTTACAGTAAAAATGTTACAACTTATTACATATTTATTTCAACAATAATGAAATTAATAACAAGTGAAATATATACAATGTTATAAATAACTCATGTGCTTAAATATTAGTTTTCAGTGTGTAATAAAGGAAAAATAACATACAAATTTTCAAATTCTAGTTTAACACATTTACATTCAATATCTTTAATATTATAAGAATCAGTAGTATTCATTTCCTTGGTAACACAAAATATATTAACATTGGCTGAAGAAAAGGGCTTTTCATAAAAATTTGATTTTGTAATAAATTTATTACCTACTAAGACAGTTCCTTTTTTGGTGGATAATATATTTTTAAATATGATTATGATTTGATCTTTAAGTTGGCAACAGTTATTTGGCTCACTAATTTCTAGAGAAAAAGTTTGAAACAAAATTTTTCTGATTTGATTTTCATAATTCATGTTCAGTGTTATACCATTTTCATGAATATTTTGTAAAAGAGAATACTCAAGGGTCTCTACATTTTTAGAAATAAGTTGCTTTCTTTTCTCATTATTTCTTTTAACAATTTGAGATAATGGCTTTTCTTTCTTACGTATAGATTTAAAGATTGATTGTAAATAATTTTCAAAAGGGAACGAAGAAAAGTTATCCAGAGGGCCATGATTTTTTACATCATTGGTGAGATGAAGCAAATTATGAACATTGTGAGAAACATGATGAGGTCCATATAACTGTTTAAAAGTTTTAACAAAATATGTTAATAAGTCATGGGCATAGTCAAGGTATTCAAAATAGTTATTACTTGACAAAATTGTGCAAGCTAAATGTAAAACTAAGAAATTCAAATAATAATCTTCACTTAGTTCTTTTTTCAATACTGTGGGACCAGTATAAAATAAAAATTGTCTTAATTCTGATGCTTTCCATCTATTTACCTCGTTTAAACTTCGTGGCTTTCTGTTAAATTCTTTTGGAATAAGCTTTTGGGTAGCTATTAGTGATGTAGAAATATTTGAAATTTGTCGTTGCGTTAGTTTTAAAGATGGCTTGCCACAACACCATATTAAAAGAATTTTTTTCACAACTCCCAAACATATCAAATGCATATAATCAAGTGGAAAAGTATTAATTAAATTAATGTTGGGTATATTCATCAAAATTGATGATCCATTATATACTGTTTTTAAACTTAAATTATATAAATTTGGAAAACAAATTCTTTTGTCTTTATATTCTCCTCTTATATAACATTTACTACATGAATCATAACCAGTATGACCTTTGCTATAAGTAATGAAAGCCTTTGCTGGAACATCACAGATAAAAGCTTTCATTCTTACATGATATGTTTTTCCATTTATAATTATATTGTTATTTATTATGTAAATAAGTTCATTAACAAAGTCCTCTAAAAAATTATTAGCATCTTTAGGTTTTTCATGGCCCCAGTAAATACCAATCATGTCTACCATTGAGGTTCCACTAAGTCTAAACAATATGGGATATACCTGACTACAACTACTTTTCGATATAGGCAAACCATCTACATTGATATTTAAATCAATTAAATTTTTATTTTTGAAAAAGGAAGATGAACTATTTATTTAATATTTAATACAAGTTTCTACACCAAAATAATGATATTCTCCAGGATCCATTGATTTTGTAATTACCGTTCTATCTGTGCTAAGAAGTGTCCTGGGATCAGATGGTAATTCAGGATGTAGTTTTTTTAAGTATTTTAAAAGATCGTTTACTGCCACATGTGAAACGTTATATTGTAGTGCCCCACTAGATAAAAATGATTTTAAATTAATTGTTTCATCGTTTCGTAGTCTTGTTTTATTTAAATTATCTGAATCCTCATGTGATAGTTCCCCATGATCAGAGTCTGTTAATAAAAACTAATACTCATCACTGTCAGTAGCCGACAAAGCCCAAGAATTTGAAACAATATTACTATCAGAAACCGAAGAATTAGATGGAACAATATTATCAATACTCTTAGTATCGATAATAATGGCATTACAATCGGCCCCAGGATCACTCTCTTCAAATTCTACTCTTGCTCTTTTTGCTCTCATATAGTATTTTTTAAGTACATTACTCATACTTACTTTACAAATGTAGCAAATCGCACCACAACCACCAAAATTCCTACAACCTACTTAATGTCTATAATAATAAATTACCAAACTAGTATAGAAACAATAAACTAATTCTATAATTCCAACCACAACCACAATGATTATAATTCGAGCAATATCGATTCCGAGTGTGTACTTCAACGAGGTAACATCGTATCAGTGTTTTGTTCCGAGTTTTAGTGCTTTTTGTGAAACCTAACAACTACTTTTAAATACTAGTAAGACCAGACTTTACCGTATGTATTGATAAGCCTAATTGCATGTTTGTTTTTTCTGGAGCGATTAGTTAATTAGCAAATTAATAATTTCTTCAAACTGGGCCAGTTTCCAGTGGCGTAGGCCTACCTAATATGTATTTTTGGAAGAAAATACATAAAACCTAACTAAATTTAACAAATAATTAAAATGTTCGTCTACCTTTGACTACAAGGGTACCGACAACAAATACAGTTCACACATCAGATCCTCACAGTTCACAACTTTTCAAGGTGTCACAAAATATTCAGCATAATTCTTCTTCAACTCCCTCATACGCAACTGCAACGAAATCAACTCCTAAATCAACTTTTCCAAAGAGGGATCAAGCCATAGTATTGCATGCCGATGAAAACCTAAAATTGTTCGATTACGTCAAGGCAGTAGGTGACGCTATTGGTCCCAAACAAATCCTATTCGCATCCAGAATATCCAATAACAGAATTTGTATATATTTAACTAACTCAGAACTCGTCGACAAACTTCTAAAATCTCATCCGATTTTGACAATAGGAAACTGTGTGATGAATGTTCGCAGGCTAGTCTCCCCTACAAAAAGAATAATTATATCCAATATATCTCCATGTATACCACACGACCTTGCAGAAAATGCTATAAAAGAACTTGGGCTCCAACTGGCCTCCCCCGTCTCATTTTTAAGAGCAGGTATTCCCGGCGATGAATATTCACACATCATAAGCTTTAGAAGGCAAGTGTATGTTTTTACCTCTGATGACAATTTTAATCTGCAAACTTCATTAGTTATCCCATTCGAAGGTAATGAAAACAGAATATTTTTGTCCACAGACAAAATGGAATGCTACATATGCAAGAAGTCAGGGCATATTGCCTCAAATTGTAACAATCCTCCACCCAATTATATAGCATCCCAGCCTCAGCCGTTAACATCAACCCAGATAACAGACCACTCACTACCACAGTCTTCTATACAACCCGCAACATTACCAGATATGTCTACTTCAGAACTAAACAATTCCATAATGACTAAAACGCCCACACATAAACGTGGCCGCTCCGAAATCGAGAGTACAAGTGAGCAAACTGATATTCCCGATAACATCTCGGTAGCAAATCCATCCGAAGACAACTTCATGCCTCCCCCTAATAGAGACATTAAAAAACCAAAAAAGAAACCCAGAACAAGTTCACTGTCAGAACGTTACCTTTCTGATTTAACAAAAGACGCTATGAAAGAAGCCTTTACGAAAACCCCAGAATCACTTATTATTCCTCCAGAAAACTTGATAGCCTTTGTCGAAAATACTTTCGGCTGTAGTGACCCCTACGCTGAAGCTCTTAAGTTTACAGAAAATGTTTCAGGACTAGTTTCTAACATTCAAGCATTATACCCAACTTGTCAGGAGAGATCTATCAAAAACAGGCTAACCCGTCTAACCAAAAAACTATTAAAGGCCTTAGGTACTGACCCAGAAGAACTCGAAAGTACGCCCAGTGCAAATCTTTCCTCCAACTCTAATGAAGATAACTACAATTCTGACAGCTCACAAGCATCCCTATCCTCCCAATTCAGCTCCTTTTAATACAAACACCATGCTAAGGCTAATCCAATGGAACTGCGA